CCCTGCCCCAAGGCAAAATGACAGGAAGCTGGTACTCAAAAGGCATTAAAGAAATCCCACGTATTGAGTCTTTTTGACCCATCCATATGCAAACTACGAACATAAATTTCAGGACTCCAGAATCTTCCATGTTGATGACAAGTATCTGTCTGAGAATATTTGAGACGAAACTTCACTATTAAGGCAGAGTATTTGGCACCTATAATTGTGCTCAGCACTGAGCGAGGTGCTATGCTGGGTACAGAATTTCAGGCTTTGGTTCCTATATTCAAAGACCTAAACATTTAATGGGATTAGGGATTGTGTAGCTTTCTGAGAACCATTTTAAACATAGAGGATTACATAGAGGATTAGCTCTTATCAATGATCTCTTTTACAAATCAGTCTCACATCAAGTTTAAACCAAAACCACCTTCTTAACAAAACTCTCAGTGCTTTAGACATAGCCCAGGATGCAGAAATCTATATTCATTCATTCATCCATTCATTCATTCACAAGCACTTCTTATGTGCTTACCACTGTTTTAGACACTATAAGGTAATAAAAGTGATGATTTCCTTCTCTCAAATGTCTTACCTGTTGTTCTGTCTGCTTGGAATAGTATGCATCTGATTCCTGCCTGTCACTGCCATCATCTCCTTCTATTTAATTCCTGTTCATTTTTTTAGATTTCGGCGATCACTAACTGCGTAGGCTTGGTTCGAACCCTTTGCTGTATGCTCCCATGGCATCCTGGGGGCTTCACTTTCACAAAGTTATCATACTTGTAATTTTTTACTCAATGTGTCTTCATTAGTAGAATGAAAACCCATGAGGACAGGGTCATGTTCTTTTTGTTCCCTACTATGCCTGAAAACAATAGCAGAGACTAAATAAACATTCACTGGACAGATATTTATTGAGCCTTTATGTGTTAAGCATTGTTCTTGGCATTGAGGATTCAAAAGAGGAGAAGAATGGAGCCTACATGTTAGTTAAAGTGTTGATATAATGATAGAAGAGTATCTAGCTTAAACTCTTTATTTCCCAGGTGAGGAAATGAATGCCCCAGAGATTAAGTGACCTGAGTCAGTCCACATGGAAAATTTGAGTGGCACAGATTTTGTTTGTTCATTTTAAAAATTTCCCCTTGCATACTACTTCTCAATTCACATTTCACTAACTAAAGGTGGGTGTGTGAACTGCTGTATTCAGTCCATGAATACCCACAGAACACTGAGGACATCATGAGCTGAGTGAGTGGAAACAAACATGTAGAGCTCATGACTTTTACATGTACAGAATGTGAAAGCTTACGTAGGTAACGGGCAGACAGCTTTGGTGATTCCTTGTCTGATTCTGTCATAGCTCTTATAAGAACCAGCATGTCCCTAACTGTTACTTGTGGAGCCTTGGCAGCAGGAGTCCTTGGGAAAGTGAAGGTGTTGGCACCAACAGCAGCCGCGTTGTCAGGGTTTGGTCAGGAACTGCTGAAAGAGCTCAGTCCTGAGCTGGAAGCTGCAGGAAGGGACTAGTATGATCATTCTTGAGAAGAGTAGAAGGGCTTTTCAGGAGAGGACATATAAGGAAAGCAAGGGGATTTTTATAGTAGGATTGTCTTAAAATATTAAGGGCAAAGAAATAGTTCACTAGAGTAGAGAGTATATACTCAATAATGAAAAATATGATGGGATAGGTATGGGGGACGAGACTGGAGTTGAGTCCTTGGAAATCATAGAGAGCACTAGGCTTAGATTTCAGTCAGATTACTAATTAAGTGTGAATCCAAACTAGCTCTTAAGTATAGAGCCTTGGAGATCTACCATGAGAACTCTGCTGGGGTTCTCTTTCTCCCAGTTTGAGGAACTTCCCCAGAGGGATATGGAGGAGCTCTCTCACCCATTATATTCACCAAATAGAAGCCAATCTCTAGGCAGGTTGCTATAAGTCAGGTTACCATGTTTTCCCAGTTGAAAACACGCCCTCCACTTCCCACAACGCTGAACCGACACGAGCAGAAAGACATGCAGAAAGCACCTTTGCCAGCTTTGCCCAGGGACTAGCGGAGCCTGTGCATGAGTCTTTGTGACTCTGCTATCAGTGATAACTATGACTAATTCAGAAATCTCACTCATGTCACCCATAAAACTATGAGTTGCTGAGTCATTCAGTCAGAAAGCACTTCAATCCAAAATAACAACCTTTTAAAAGAACAGCAACTTTTAATAATGTGATCAGAAATCCTTTGGCACTTTAAAGAAATGCTCTCTGAGGGCTAATGCTAGGACCAGCAGTGCACTTATGTTATTGGGAGGTAGGAAACAATAATTCTTCTGTCTTTAAATGGTATGTGAGTTTAGGGAATGAGCTTGGCACTGTGTGGGGACAGAGGTCAGAGAAGGCACTGTGGACAACTTCTGTAAAGAAAATGTTTTATTTAAAGTGTTAAATACCATCACCAGAATGAATTTGATTTACATTAGTTGGTGTTCATTACAGGAATAATCTGCCCTTTTTTTTCCAACTGGAATTCCCTTTACTTTTAAAACATACTATGTACAGGGCAGCAATGGTCACTGGCATAGTGCTATTTACATGACAAAACCACAAGTCGAGGTGCAGACGTGAAAAATAAAAAAAAAAAGAAACACCAACTTTTAAATAAATACTGCATAATGACAAGTATGTACAAATATTCCATACAGTCATGTCCTTCTTATTAAAATTAGAAATAATTTGTATAGGAATATGCTCAAAAGATTATGTGACTGCATCTTAGTATCAGGAAAATCATAAACGTTTATTCTAATGGGTAGTATGCTATAGGTCTATGAAATCAATTGTTGCTGGTACACAGGTGTCTAAATTATTTCAATAAAGTTTTATTCATTCTTTTAACAACTTTACCTGGGTCCATCATAGATCTCAGAATGTCAAGACACAGTCTTGGTGTATTTCATATTGCACCACATAAAGAGAAGGCATTTTTAGTGAACTCATTTTAACTTTTGCACTGTATCAAGCATGATAGTTTGTAATAGTCAGCAATGAATTTAGATAAAATAAAAACAAAGAAAACAATTTTTGTGCATGGCCTTAATTTAAACAAATAGGATTTATGAGGATTTCAAAAGTTATTGCAAAACATTAAAATCAATTTATAAGAATGTGTTATCAAAGTGTACATAAAGAATCAGGAAGTATGGGTGGTTTTTTAAATAACAATGACTTTTCCTCTAAATAGGGGAACTTAAGAGAAATATTTGACCTTGTAGCACCACCCAATGGTAATAACTGTCCATAAAACCAAAGGCAGGGGTTTTGACTTTAGGGGATTTTCATGTAGACTTTTGGTGATGGCATCAAAGAACTATTAATAGGCGTAATGACTTTCTTTGAGTCACCTAAAAATTGGAGCTTTAAAATTGTTTGTTGCAAATTTATGTTTACTATATTTCTTTAGAAATATAATTTGTGAAAAATTGAATTTTACTACAGAAAAATGAATTAATAAACAGCCCTGTGTTTCAAGGCTCCAAATTTTTAGCAGTGCTTCTATTCACATAATAAATGGAAATTGGCTAAAGAAGTTGCTTTAACTGATTAAAAAACAAACAAAACCTAAGACCTTCTACAAATAATACTTTAACCCCTGTATGAATAATGCTGGTGCTAAAAACAAATTTATTAGACATTACAATGGCCACATGATTTTTGGATTTTCCTGTAAACTGAATTTTGAAGGTGAAAAAAATTACCATGCACTGTACAATAAATTGCAAAAGTTCAAATATCTTCTTTGTTAAATACATGCTGACTTACTTTAATGTACTCCCAAGTCATGTTGCAAAATCCTTTTCAACATGCTTGAAATAAAGAAAGCTCTTAGACAGTTGTTTTTTTCCCTTGAGAAGTTCAGAAGCATCTTACAGCTCTGAATCAAACATGGGGTATAAGAGAGGATCAGATCAAAAACTTGTAATATTTTAGTATAAGGTTCACTCTGGTAGGGAGGAAGAAAATAAAAGATTAAAAGAGGGAGAGGAGGAAAAGTGAGAGAAGAGGAAGAAAAATGTGAAAAATTTGCACATATTGAACTCCATAAGATTTGTATATTTAACATGGAAATAAATTGAATATATCATACTTATTTGTCACATAAAGAGAATTTTAAGTATCTTTTAGAAAGTATTTCCATTTATAATGTCTGCCAAAACACAGACTATGATTGGTTTAAAGAATAAACATGGTGTGTCTTTGTATCACCCTGTTGCATTCTCTCCCCTTTTAAAACCATGCACTAGTGAAATTTATTTTTAAAAATAATATAAATTGTTGAAAATGGCTGATTTTTATTCTTTTTTTTTGCAAGTTGCAGCCTCAAGAAAATAATTTAAGTATTCAGCTAATCTGTGTCCATGCAAAAAAAGTTTCTTTAATTTCATTCAGTACAGTGTAGCCACAGAATTGTTTTTCAGAGTTCAACACATCTTGGCATTAGTAAATGTCATGCCTGTGGAGCGACGGAAGTCTGCCACTCTTCCTGCTGGACTGACTGCTTGAGATCCCTGGCCAGAGGAAGGCTGACGCTTTGTTCCTGACCACTTCTTTGGTCTCCTGCTTTTTACCTGATGCTTCCTAGGACTTCACTCCTTGACCTGTAACATGGCTTAAAGGCTGTACAGCTCCATTTCTGTGGCATAACAGGGCTTTGGGGTCAGATAAATGAAGAAAAAGGAACGATAAAAATATAAAGGTGCCATTGAAAAGGGCTTTTGTTGCATGAAACTGACTAGTTCTTTGAGATTAATCCATGGCTTCAGATTGGACCGAAAATCGAGTGTCATTGAACTCCAAACCTGATAGTTCTTCATATCTCTGCTCTTTCACCTGAGGGCCTTCTTTAGGGCACAATGTGTGCAACTTCCTCTGAGAACACAGGATCGCTTTGTATCCCTAGAAACAGGCTCAGAAGACACAACATTAAGCATGCAGTGTTACCAGGGTTTGCGACCTGTGATTTTTTTTTTTTTTGTAACGCTGGTTGCTGTGACAACAGTTTTACAGCTGCTATGAACGGGAGTAAGAAGGTCCAGTTGAACTTTCCAGAGATGACTGGGAAGCTCTTCTTGTCAGAGGGGCCAAGGTTGGATCTACTAGGGAGGAAGGGGGGAAAAGTTTGAACCATCCAATGACCATATTGGATAGCTCTAGTTCATCTAAAAGTATCTGGGCCACTCCCATAAAGGATTTGTGATCCATGCGGCCATAATCTCCCCAGACGATGATCTGTTGGAAAAATAAAAAGTAGGGTAATATCAGTATAATCATGTAATTATGTACCAATATAATTATGTACCAAAAAACTTACATTAAAACACTAACATACATTCAGTTAATGTTCTGACATCAAAGAACAAGTTAAATAATTGTCTTTGATTAATGGAATGGTTGTCTTTAACTACTGGAATCCAAAGTTAAATCCAAAGTTAGGAAAACTGTACTAGAGAGCTAAGATCATAAGCAGTTCAGGGAGATTGGAGTTTATGGGTGATGGGGATTGGCAAGTCTATAATTCACTTTAAAGAAAGTGACAATGTATGTAGTTTTATAGCATTGGCTGCTGCTCTGAAGTTTCCAAAGGATTTCAGCTGTGAGGGACATAAAAGAATGTAATAGGCTGGGCGCAGTGGCTCACGCCTGTAATCCTAGCACTCTGAAAGATCGAAAGGGGAGGATTACTTAAGCTCAGGAGTTCAAGACCAGCTTGAGCAAGAGCAAGACCCGTCTCTACTAAAAATACAAAGAAATTAGCCAAACAACTAAAAATAGAAAAAAAAAAATTTAGCTGAGCATGGTGGCACGTGCCTGTAGTCCCAGCTACCGGGGAGGCTGAGGCAGGAGGATTGCTTGAGCCCAGGAGTTTGAGGTTGCTGTGAGCAAGGCTGATGCCACAGCACTCACTCTAGCCCCGGCAAGACAATGAGACTGTCTCAAAAAAAAAAAAAAAGAATGTAATAAAAAAAGATTTTGGTACAATGTCTGACTCCATGAAAATACTTTCTTAGGTAAGGGATAAACAAGTAAATACCTGTAAAACCTTTCCTTGGGGACTCTCTTCAAAAGATAATAGCTGCTGGTAAAGGGGTTCCAGCGTTTTTCTTGCCACTTTTGTCTTCTTTTTGGCTATGCAGACTCCATTATCTAGAAGATACACCTTTACGTATGGTGCTTGGGAAAGAAAACAGGAACACAGAAGAATAAGTGATGAACTATGGACATGGAATGCTCAGCTCACAGTGACATCTGCAATAGCTTGATCTTTGGGTAAAAGAGCTAGCATTTAAGCCACTGGCCTTGCCAGATTCTGCCAAAATTACTAGATAATGGATAATTGTCAGTTATTCAGAGAGTTTTAGGGGATGCTGATATAGCTCTGAGTTTATTATTATTTTGCCACCAACTGGTTATACAGATTTAAACATTGCATTAAATAAGGTGAAATGCTTCTAGTTCCTAACGTATTCAAGAAATGTCTTACTCAGTCTTTCATTTCTGGATACTTAAATCTAATTAAACATGCTTGAAACTGTATTGTTTTGCTCGCTCATCCCCCCAAATCATTCATCATCACCCAAAGCATTTATATATTGGTGATGGTGTGGGTATAAGACAGGGGTGGAGTTTGATGTAATATGTACAAATTATAGAAAAGGCAATTGATTATAAATTCTTTGGCTTAAAATTCGTCTGACAGACACTTCATAAAAAACATTTCATGTATGTGTAAATCATAATATTCTTTATAGCAGAGTAAGTCAACAAGCTCCAAGACCTGTACAAACACAACTGTCTTAATCACTAGTGCAAGGTTGTACAACAGGTAATATATGAGAGCCGTCCGGAAAGCATCCAGCCATGTAATAACTCTCCTTACATTAACAATGGCTGGATACTTTCTGGACAGCCCTTGTATATTATAATTTAAAATTTCTGCAAGCATAGAGAAGTTAAGAGATTCAAAATTACAAGTCAGTCAGTGGAGGTGCTGAGACTAGAAGCCACGTTTAACAAACCTCAGCAATTGTTTTATACTTCTGATCAAAGAGCCTCTCTGTATAATGCATTCAGAATCACTGTGGCATTTTACGTGGTTTCAAGCACCTTAGTATAATGTATTTCAGTATGATAAGTAGTATAAGAAGTTAAAATAGTGCCTGTCTTTCCTTATATACTACAGGAAGTAAAAGTCATATAATTTGAATATCCAATATACATAGGATTATGCCACTATTGGGGCCTTTATCTATTTTTATCCTAATTCCAGAGCTCTAAGAATTGCTAAGGAGAAGCTCTAGATAAACTGAATAATGACACAAAACACTAGCTAACAACAACAAAAGAACTCCTTATGTACATGTTGTGACAAAAAGAATTATCTATGTGTGGTGGTTTTTAGTTTGCAGTGGTTTCTACTACATATGTACTTATTTAACAACTTCTATTATCCCTACCAGATCACCCTCACTGAATACTCATTCAGGATAAATATGCAAACTACTTCAGCCCTAAAGCAGTCATAACTGACTCATCTATTAGTAATCTCGATTAACTAAAAGCAAAGTTTTCAGCATCTAATGAAAAACAGTCTCTAAATTGAAACAATATGAATTATGGACAACAGTAGACAAATCTCTTCTGTTTTTACCTGGCAGTGTCTTGGAACCTGGTTTTACAACAAGGCCACGGGCCCGGATGATCTCCACTTCCAACTGTCCTTTTTTGTCCATCATTCCTACCTGAATGTCACCTAATGGTGTGTGGGGAAGAAACAAACATGCTTCAATATACAAATGCAGTAAGGAAAAGGCTTGTGCCGCCTGCTGTGGGGGTGGGCAAATATATATCTCCTATATATTTTCTTAGATTCAAATATATTTAAAATTTTATTAATGATGTCTTCCTTTAAAAAGCATTAGAAATTAAAATAGAAAAAATAAAGGCTTTTTAAATTAAAATCTAGGATACTTTATTCCTACTGAAAATATTATTAAAGATTCTATGAAATTTAGAGAATGTAATTTTCAGTAATTTAAAAGGAAAACAGTGAAATCATGTGACAGAATCCTTACCCATGGCAGGTGTAGCCAGAGTCTGGCGTCCCACTAGCTGAGCAGGGCCAAGGCCATCCAGAAAGTCGCTGAATTGGCTATCAGAGGCTAAGCGGACACCAGGGAAAATCAGACTGAAAGCAAAATAACATAAGGGAGTAAATCCTCAACTCCTATTTACTTTCAGGCTCAAGTCTCCCTCTAGCCTCCTTGATGTGGCAGGAGACTTGGTCCCCCTATTTATGGGGTCCCAACACCCTAGTCCACCTCCGAGGGCTCTTCTTCCAAATTCCCCAGCAGCCCTTGGAAGTCTCCAGAGGCAGTGGGCACACTGCCCCCTGGCTTCTGCTCATGTGTCTTTCTCTTCCTTGGTCTGAGGGGCAGGGGCTGTGATTTCTATGAACAACACTCAGCACATATTGAGCACTTACTCCATGACAGACTTTATCACATTTAATTCTCTTAGCTGCACGATGAGATAGATTCTATCATTTCTACCTTTTTATAGATGAAGAAATGCTTCCGCATGATTCTCATCAGCATATAATCATGCTGTTACTTCTCCCACCTTACCAAAAGAATCTTTTTCTTGACCCCACTTCCTTCTCTAGCCACCACCCCATTTCTCTCCTTGTAAAAGTAGTCTTTATGTTCTGTCTTTAGTTTATTTCCTCTCATTCTCTCTTGAAAGCATAATCATTTTTTTACTTTCACCACTCCACAAAAACTTCTCTGATCATTTGACACAACTGACCCCTCCTTCTTCCTTACAACACTTTCTCCACTTTGTTTCCTGGACCCTCGTATCTCCTGGTTTTCCTCTTTTCTCTTCTGCCTCTCTGCCTTGATACCTTTGCCAGTTTTGCTCGATCTCTGGACCTCTTATCTTTTCTCTTCTGAATTTCCTTGGTGATCTAATCCAGTCTCATAGTTTGAAATGTCATCTATGCTGTTATAGCCTACTTTGACATCTCCAGCTTAGACCTTTCTCTTGGGCCACGGACCTGAATTCCAAATGCTTAGTGTACATATCTGCTAGGATATAAAATAGGCACCTGAAATTTAACTTGCCCAAAACTGAACTCCACCCCCTAACTCAACACACAAACAAAAAACCAAACTCTGGTCCTCTCAGAGGATTTTCCTCTCAGAGGATTCCCATCATCACAAATGGCAACTTCACTCTTCCAATTGCTCAACCTTGGAACCTTCTTTCTTCCTTCCTCTGTTATGAACTGAGTTGTGATCCCTCATTCATATGTTGAAGCTCTAACCTTCAATGTGCTGAGTGTATTTGGAGACAGGGCCTTTAAAGAGATAAGGTTAAATTAGGCCATTAGGGTAAAGCCCTACTCCAATATAACCGGTGACCTTATAAGAAAAGGAAGGGACAGCAGGGCATGCATGCACCAAGAAAACGGCACAAGAAGACACACAAGAAGGTGGCCATCTGCAAGCCAAGGAGAGAGGCCTCAGGAGAAACTAAACCTGCTGACACCTTGATCTTGGACTTCTAGCCTCCAGATCTGTGAGAAAATAAAGTCCTGTTGTTTAAGCCACCCAGTCTGTGGTATTTTGCTATGATAGCTCTAGCAAACCAATATACACTCTTTCTCCCATTACCCACATCAAATGAATCAGTAAATCTTATTTGTTGTATTGTTCAGAATCTGACCTCACTAATGCTACCACTCTGGCCCAAGCCCCAAATATATAGCTTCTATATCACTGCAGCAGCCTTCTGAACAGTCGCCCTGTCACTACCCTTTCTGTCCCTACCCCCATACCATCTAGACTGATCTGTGAAAATGGGAGTCAGATCACATCAGTCCTCTGTTCAAAACTTGCCAGCAGTTTCTCATCCCACTCCGAGTAAAAGCAAAGTCCTTACAATCCATGAAGACTATATAAGCTGTCCAATCCAGTCTATTCCTTAGCTCCTCACCTGTTGCCATCCCCCTGACTCCCCCCATCCCCCCGTTCTCACTCCACAGTGTGGCCTCCTCACTGCTGAAGCCAGACCAGCTCCTGCCTCCTCTGCACTGCTTCAGCCTGAACTGTTCTTCCCTTAGATTTCCATCTGTTCACTAGCTTTCTTCAGACCTTCACTCAAATGCATCCTCTCCCCCCGTCTACCCTGCAAAAAATCTTTATCATCTCTCTTCCTCACTTTATTTTTCTCCTTAGCACTTATACTGCCTAATCTACTATGTAAGTTACTAATTTCTCTTGTATATAAATTGTAACAATTTTTCTTATTTATTGTCTATCTTCTCTATTAGACTGTAAGTTTGATGAGGTAGGGTTTTTTTTTCTTATTTGTTTTGTTCACTGCTATATCTGTATCACCTAGAATCATGCCTGGAAAATTGTAAGGATTCAATAGATACTTGTTAAGCTCAATCAATTAAAATGAAGCTTAGAAAAATTAAATAACTTGCCAAAGGTTCTATAGTACCCCTCCCCCAAAAAGCCAAACCACATGAGAACCACATGTGACCTCTATGATTTCAAAGCCCATGGTCTTAACTATAGATATTGACTCCCTTGTATGACTTATCTCCCCAACTCATGGCACAGAGACTGTAATACTAGCAGGTATAATATTTGCTGGATGACTTTCATGAGCATTCATCTCATTTCTCCAATAAGACTACAAACATATAGAGTAGGGGCCATAGCTTAAACATTTTTATATCCCTAATAGTATCTACATAATGCTTTATAATGATGGGTGCTCAGTGCACATTTATTCTTCAGTTGATTCTCCCTTTCATTTTAGATTTCTTTGGTGAACACCAAATCTCTTTCTCCCCTCCCACCTCAACTCCCAAATATTCAGTACACAAATATTTTAGTCTATTTCCACAAGTATCCCATATGATCCTATTTATAAATGTATGGCAACTATATAAATATATCTTATATTTATGTAATTGTGCTAGACAAATTATCCTAAGGCATATGATTCATATTATGCCAACAGTTCCTATGGCCTCATATTTGTGAACTGGCTACACATATGTTGTCTAAACATCTAATCCTTCCATCGTGACAACAGAGTGAGGGCAGTAAACCCCACTTTACTCTTACTGTCCCTTCTAGCCTCATTTACAGATCTTTACTTGATAATTACTGTTAATTTGTTGGTGACAGGGCTACACAGTCTTTATGAATGCTTTAAAAATATCTCAGAGACAGCCAATTCAAAGGGAAGCTACATGATAACTACATAAATAAAAGGCTAGGCTAGGTGCAGTGGCTCACACCTGTACTCCCAGCACTTTGGGAGGCTGAGGCAGGAGGATTGCTTGAAGCCAGGAGTTTGAGAGGGCCTAGGCAATATAGTAAGTAAGACCCCATCTCTAAAAAAAAAAAAATTAAAAATTTAGCTGGGAGTGGTGGCATACACCTATAGTCCTAGCCACTCAGGATGCTGAAGTGGGAGCATTGCTTGAGCCCAGGAGTTCCAGGTTGCAGTAAGCTTTGATCATGCTACTGCAATCCAGCCTAGGCAACAAAGTGAGACCCTGTCTCTGAAGTCAAAAAACAAAAATCATAAAAGGCTTACCAACTCTTTTGGTGGTATTTCTTTTTGGCTATTATATTATTAAATAATTAATATTGTTTGTTAAAGCATGGAACTAAGTATATATTAACTTTTCATGTTTTTTAGTAATAACTCTTAGGGCAAAGATTTTAAAAACTAGCATCATTCACATGGTATGGCATGTGTGCTTATTATTTCTGTGCTTTTACATACGATTTCAAGCTAGGGCAAAATATTTTATTTGCATGTATTGTGAGAGTCATATTTTAGCATATTACCATTAAAATAAAATAAAATGCTTTATCCCTAAACTATATCCCTTGATATAAAAAGTCAGATATGCCACATTGCTCAGTGGCAGGTGAGCAAATTTCTGTTCACAGGAAATCAGCCAGTGCAAATTAAGAGTGTGTGAGTTAGCTTTTGTGAAAGCACAGAGAGTGAGGCAGGCAAGGCGAGGAAGAGATACTCATCACAGGCGGCCTCACTCACTTTCCTTCTGAGCTGTAGCTGTTCATGCTGCCATCTGTAGATTCCCGGCTTGCCTGTCGGGTCATCCAGTTCCTCATCTCCACTGCCAGGCCCGTCTCTGTACTTCTCTGGACAGTGCTCCGTAGTTTTTTACCTCCTGCTTCTGCAGAGAGAGAGAGAGAGACAAAAGGTGTGACAGGTTTGTCATCACTACCTAGTCACAAAAAACATCAGCCAAGGCTCTGAGATCCTCAGATGAAAAGAACTGCGTAAATACAAAGTGCTCTTATTAAGGAGACAGAAAGAAAAGGTTTTTAAAACAATTTTCAACAATGAATGTCTTGTTGAGTGGGATGAAAATTTTCTAAAAATTCTTTAAAAAGCACAAAACATCATTGTTTTATTTCCATTTAAAACAGTGTTCAAGTTGTTAGCATAAGAAACAAAAAGACTCAACCTATGAAAAATGAAATAAGCTTTGCTTTCTTCCAATATTTAAATGCCAGGTTAATTTATATCTATCTTTTTGTTTGCATTGTAATATTTAAATGTCAGGTTAATTTCTGCCTACTCTATTTTTCCCTTTCTTTTTCTCATAGTAAGAGAACGAGGTCTTCACACTATTTACAAAGAACAGATGGTGAGTAATCCTCATATTCTAGATTTAACTTTCATAAGAAAACCTGTTTTTGTAAGGTGATAGATATTAGAAGGCAGAAAAATCTATACAAAGGAGATAGTCCTGTTTGCCAAGAGTTGCACATGTGTTAGTAACTTTCAGAAAGATTCTCAAAGGGGAATGCAAAACCCTAGCAGTATCATGTGAAAAGAGCTTTGTAATTTTTGGTCACAGATAGTCATATCTTCAAGGATCTTCAACAGTGGTGATGAGGTTTACTTACAGAAGCCAATTAGAAGACCAAACAAGAAGCTGAGTGAAGTACACAGAGGTAGGAAGTGCTATCTGCAGAGGCCAGGGAAGAAGCAGCTTCATAGAATGCATGGGATTTGAGCAAGCCTTGAAAACTGGGCAGACTGGGATGTAAGGAGAAGTGAGAAGAGAGTGCCTCGGGCAGGGGAAGCAGCCTGAGCAAGGGTGCAGACAGGAATGACCATGTGCTTTTAAGAGAAGTGCAATGACCAAAGCATGTGAAGGATTAAGTGGACGAGGTAGGTTATACAAGAAACTGAGCCCAAATTACAAAGGTCTTGAATGTTGGAACAAGGAATTGAGAGGCTAACAAAGTTGGGGTAATAGGGCAATAGTCCAAATTATTTGCAATTTTTATTCGCACTTCTTTTCATGCCTAAATATTTATCCACATGGACTGTGCATATCATTAACTTTCTGGGATACAACCATATGGTAAGCTGTTTTAGTGCCTGGTATTAGTAAGTTCCTTTTAGATCTATAAATATTCACTGATATGCCAGTTGGCTTTTGAAATATCTTTTCACCAAACCTCTTATATTTGCTCACCATTTTGAAACACTGCTTTAAATTTCATCCATTCTCCACTTTCAACTTTAATGTACACCAAAATACTTTAAAGAGTTTAGAAAAAGTTTATAAATTATGACTGATCTATATAACTTAGTTCCATAATCTAAGGCTGATATGTTAGATAACTGACAGTAAACATGTTGTACTGATATGAATTGTAAGAAAACATAAAGCATACCCCAACCCTGTTGATGAGGGAAAGCTATCCTTTACAGAGAAATATTAGTAAAGGTAAAAGAATGATCACATTTAAAAATTCCCAATTTGCATCCTCCAATGGAATAAATGTTTTAAGCAAGGCTCGTCAACAGAGGCTAACACCATTAGATGAAAGGTTGGGAAAATAATATTCTACAAGCCAAATAATCGTTCCACAAATTTGTTCTAATTGTTAAAGAAAAAAAAAATGGTACTTGATATTGGGAGAACTGGCTACCACCATCTTAATCAAGTGATCAAACTTAGTAGTGCCAACAGTCAGGCAGTCATATGTACTGCCTGATATAAAATACACAGTATCGCCTATCAAGTTGTTTTAGATAAAAATACACAATTTGGTTTTAATCAAGTCTTTGGAAACAACTTCTAGTTTTCAAAAATACAGGGGATAGAGTAATAAGATAAATCACATACACATACATACAAACCAATCAGACAAGCCCAGAACATGAGACATCATTCAAGAGAGTTAGCCTAATCACTTAAACAAAAGATAACATCATGAAAACAAATTAAACAAGGTGAGGGAATTGTTCTACATTAAAAGATATCCAAGTGATGTAACCATCAAATGCTATAAGTGTAGTCTGGCCTCTTATTTGGAAAAACAAAACAAAACAAGAAACTCTACAAGCAAAATAGTATAAAAGTAATTTTAGAACAAGTACAGAAAATTTGAATATGCATTGGCTATTAGATGGGATTAGGAAATTGTTATTTTTCTTAAGGTAGATAATGGCATGTATTATAAATAATTTTCTTCTTGTTAGGAAATACAAGCTAAAGTATTTAGACCTGAAATATTATATTGTCTGCAATTTACTTTCAAATGGTGTAGCAGAAAAAAAAGTACACATATATTTAAAACAGAGGGAGAATGTTAAAAAAAAATAAAAGAATAAGGATGCAGAGTAAACCTTGGTATTCATGAATTTAATAGTTATAATTTTATTTGAGAGTGATCCTCAAATGACTACATCAAAAAGTAATAAAATTTTTTCCAAATGTGAATTGGAATCATGGAAGGTACTAGGCTGGTGTGAGGGAGCCAGGCCAAGGGATGAGGCCCTGTCTCTCCAGGTAGGTCAAATGTTCACTTCCTGTGAACAGTGCTCTTGTGAAAAACTGCCATCAAGTGAGACATACAACTCCAGTGAAGTTTGAGCAGTGGAATGAGTATGTGTACTGAAAGCTTACGACTTGCAAAGGAAATGAGATTCGTTAACATCTCAGGACGTAGAATTTGTAATGTGAAGGATCTACTGTTTTTTGGTTTAAGGTCTGACCCTATCATAGCTAAAGTGACTTGAAAATCTGCTATTAAAGGGTGATGAGAACCAGCATCATTTGTCAAAGAATAGAAATACAATGAGCATGTAATCCTTTCATTTACAGATGCTTTTTAACATGTATCCTCTTCTTAACAACTCTAAAAATCCCTGTTTTACAGATATAGCATCTAAGGGCCCCTGCAGATTACATAATTCCCTGAAACCATATAGTAAGTGACAGAATTAGGATTTGTACATAGTTCCCAGACTCCAAATTTTCTGCTATTCACTAAATTGCTGTCAGAATACAACTACATGGGTTGTTTGTGCAGCTGTCTATGGAGACTATACAATGCTGACTCTGCGACCACATACGGCAGGCCCTGTTAGAAGCAGCTTGGTGGGTGGGAAGAGGAGAACACAGTTAAGCGGTCAAGCCCTGGTGTCGAACTGCTTCTCTTTGAATCCCCACTCTACCGTTGACAAGCTAGGTGACACTGAGCAAGTTACATATCCTCTCTGTGACTCACTTTTCTCAAACTATGAAATGACAATGATAATAATCATGCCTACCTCATAGGCATTAAGGAAAATAATACATTTAAAGTGCTTACAATAGTGTCTGATACATAGAAAATCTTCAGTTAATGGTGCTGTTATTATTATTACCACATAGGGAATCAGAAAACATGTCTCCTAGGCCAGCCTCTACTACTACTCACTGATTCTGTGGTACCCTCTGAGTCCTATCTCCTCTCTGAGTCTCTGGCTCCTCATTTATGAAAAAAGCAGGGGGAGGAAGACAGATAATCTCTGATATCTTTCAGCTCCAAAGGCTATGAGTTTGTGTCATTAGTGTATGGCCAAGACCATGATTAACAGCATACATGGAGGAGATATGCTATTCACTGCCATCTGACAGAATCAAAGAATTCCAGCGAATATACTGGACATTTATAGTAACCCTTTAAAACATGTCTTTTTAAATGTGCCATTATCTGATAGATTTATAGACTTATTTAAAAAGTAAATTTACTTTTCAGCACCACAAAACCTCTGGTCACATTCACAATAAAAGTAATCTAACCTAAATGTAATTATGGTGATTCACATTTAATGTTCCAAATGACTTGACATGTTATTCAACCTAAAAACTGAATCTATATAACAGTGAAGGTCTAAGTAAGGGTTTTAGGCAGAATTCTAAGATGGCTCCCAAGATTATGTTACCTTACATGGCAAAAGGGATCTTGCAGATAGAATTAAGGTCACTAATCAGTGGATCCAAAGACAGGGAAATTAGCTGAGTGGGCCTAACCTAACAAAACGAACCCTTTCAAAGCAGAGTACTTTCTCTGGCTGGTTCCAGAAGAGTAAATCAGAGATATTTGAAATATAGGAAAAATTCAGTGTACCTTTGCCTGCTTGAAGAGGGATGGGGCCTTGTGGAAATGACATGAGAACAGCCTCCAGCTGCTGACAGTGATGCCTGCTGCCAGGGAACTCAGCCCTACAACTGCAAGGAAGTAGATTTTGCTAACAACCTGAATGGCCTTGAAGCAGCTGTTTTCCCCCAGAGTCTCTGAACAAGAACTCAGCCCAAACAACATGTTAATTTCAGCCACAAGGAAAAAACCCAGCCACACTGTGCCAGACTTGTGACCCAGAACTGTGAACTAATAAATGGGTGTTGTTTTCAGCTGTTAAATTTGTGATAATTGTTATACTGCAATGGATAACTAATACAGTAAGTTCTGAGTCCTTTTTAGATAATTTTTTTAAAATGAGGAGACTTATGAAGATATCCTATTAATGACCATAGGGGTGGACCAACCAAATTTGTAAAAACTTAGCCATGATAAAAGAAGTGTATACTTTTTAAAAAAATATACACACACGTAAATATACACATACATACACATATAAATATATATGTCTAATATATGTACATATGTGTATATTCAGATGTTCAAAAATACTCAAGTTGCAAGTCATAGAAAACTAAGGCCCAGATTGTGTGGTTGTTGAGCGCTCAAGCCACTCACTCTGGTATCAGGCATTTGGAGAAGATGCCTGCAGGTAAAAATCAAGTTCTTGAACTGCAAAATGTCACAGGCAGAATGCAGAACATAGGAAGTGTCCTTGTTATTTTGCTCTGCTTAGTCTGAT